CCTCTTCCCCCTCTTCCCCCCTCCTCTTCCCCCTCCTCTCCCCCCCCCTCTCCTTTTATACGAATGAAAGGGGCGACGAGGGGTGACTTCTTTACCGTGATTTCTTTAGGTCTTCCGTAACTGCGGCGGCCGCTCGCGAATCGTTAGACCAATCAAGATTAAGGGTTGCAGGACTTGCACGACTGTCTGCGTGCTGCGTGCATGCAGTCGTGCTTGTCCTTCTATCGCCGACCTCGATCAACTGTTACGAGTCTTATGACACAGCCTGCCTAAGGCACTAATAATAATAGAGTAAGCAAAAGCAAAGGCGCTGGGTATTTTCTTTGGATCCATAGTCATCCATTTYCATYTATCCATCATCCATTCATCATACATTAATCATCCATCAATCATCCATTAATCAGCCATCAATGATCTATCAATGATCCATCAATCATCTATCAATCATCCCATCAATCAATATCCTATCCATCCATCCATGAATCATCCATGAATCATCCATGAATCATCCATGAATCATCCATGAATCATCCATGAATCGTCCTTCCATCTCTCTTTTGATGTAGATCCGACGATATCGATGGTCATTAGTGAGGGTCATGAAGAAGAAATTTGTTGGGTTTGAACAAGGACAGCGTCATTGTCAGTAAGAGGAAAAGACCGTGCGTTCTACTCCCTCAGCAACGAGTATCGCTGGTCGTTGCTGAGGGTTATGAAGAAGCGGGGGAAAGAAAGATAATTTTGTGCTAGTGAACCGTGAAGGAAGTGCAGAGGTTAGCGTCTTCCCCCAAGTAGAACGCACTGTTTTGATAGTTGTATTTGGGGCAACTTTCAGTCTGCATACAACGATAATCACCGTGCGTTCTAGTCAGTGGAAAGACGGTGATAAGGGTGGTAAGCGAAGGAGCAGAAGAAGAGCCCAAGGGCAACATCCAAGATACCCTACAGTTACTTGGAGCGACCTCAAATTATGAAATCAATGTCCAGAAATGAAAGGTTTTGGGTGAATGTGACCGGGATCTCAGCCTGGGGAGAGAAGAAGGGAAAGCAGTAAATAGAGCATGGAGGAGATTGGGGGAGAAGGGGG